GTGAATTAAATAAGAACAAAACTTCCACAGCACAAAAACAACCAGATGCGTTTTTTTTTTTTATAGAAAAAACAGCCGTATACATGATGACGCTGAATGTGTGTGTATATATATATGCTCAAGGACTCGCAAAACAAGACGGATGCCCGTAAAGTATATCTAATAAAATGGATAGAAGAAACATTTAAGAGTAGGCCTTAGTATCTTTTTTTTTTTTTTTTTTTTGCTATGAAAAAGATATGATTTAGTATTAATTTTTTGACTCTTCAAGAAGCATGCTTCTTTTTGTTTTTATTTCAATTGGAACCTCCATTAAAATTCTAAATAATTTATTTGAGAAAAGTTTAGGATTTATCTAACGAAATTAACTTCAACCAGAGACGTGTTTTTCTTTAAAAAAATACTTTCTAATTATAGTTAATGTGGGTGTAAGCTCATTTATTTTTTTTAAAAAAAGACTATCATTTCTATTTATAGTATTAATGGGTTTTAATGTAATTTTAACGCACGGTAAAATTGTAATAAAAAAATTAGGAATTAATGGGAATATTTATGAATTTAATAGGTGTAAATGAAATCACTCCTAATCAAATTATTTAAAAACTTGAAATGCTTTTAATGCTTTAATATTTAAATCTATTAAATAATTTTCTGATGTTTGACAATAAATATGAGAGCGAGGGGAGAGACGAAGATAGAGTAGTAATATATCTTAAAGAAGTAACTCTTACGGTATTTCAGCAAAAAAAAAAAAAAAAAAAAAAAAAAAGTAACTTTAATAGGACAAGTAAACGGAGAGCTGAAACGTGACAAATGGAGAAGGCCATATCCGAGAGGTGTCTAAGTCTATATGAATTTTTAGTTAGCACTCGTCTTGTATTTTTCTTTAGCTAATGCAGAATGTATTTCACCCTTAGTTATTTCAATCTAGTTGCATTATGATCAAATTGTCAACCTTTACGGGGGCGCCAAGAATGGGTCATATGGATCTCTCATAGTCTCAGTTAACACTCTGAAATCAGCAGCTGATCCTTCTCATCCGGTATTGACATAAGTGAATAGCATATCAAAACTACACGCCGCCATTACATTTTGAGTGCACGAATGTCTTCTTCCTCTGTAGACTGTTTGTTGATGTGCAGGTGGGACAAGAGTGTTGGAAATCAAATGGTCTTTTTGCAGATATTGGAAGATGCTAGTTTTATCCTGTGTGTGTAGAAGGTGAAATTCTAAAATTGAATTTGTCAGAGACTAATGACCGAATTTAGGCGATTCAGAGAATTAGTGTCGTGGTAGCAATAAATAAATTACAGAATAACATAGAGATAAAGAGACAGAAAATTTACAGAAATTCGCTCGTTAATGAGAACTGCGCCCTCTATAGGGTCTGGGTTTTCCACTATTATTGATGAATATATTGTAATGATTCTTGAGATCAAGAAGAGGAAGGAAGAGGGAAGTGAATGATATAGAAAATATGGATTTGGGGGGGATAATGTCTAATTCTCTATAGAATGAAACTGGAATTCCTTGAAATGCGTGAAGGTTGATCAATATATATCACAGTATGGAGGCTAGGGCTTCAACATGCATGTAGAGGAGGTGCTTTGGGCATGAATTAATCCTCTTTTATAGCCTCCTAGTGATTTGAATCCTTGTTGGATAAGGATTGTGACTTGAATTTGAATTGCTAATCCTTTTGGGCAAGTACATAGAGTTTCCCATTTTGATATTTCATTTAGGATGAAAGGATCCTTCTTTGATTGACCTTATCTCATAAGTCAAGATATCCTGATTTGGTGGAGAAAATAATGGAAAGTATAACCAAATACATTAAATTTGTGCTCCAAGTCAACAGGCAGTCGGGTAGATCGTCAGATGAGTTGCTCATCTGTTGAGTGGTGACCCATGAGTTGTCGGAAGCTCGCGGCTCTCTCTACATGCATTTGAGTCATTCTGACAAGCTATTACTAAAATTCAGAGATTGCTAACTCGATAAGGAGTCTGCTATATCTGTTGGAGACTCACTAGATGATCCGTGATCGGTGAGCTATCATGGCTCGCGACTAATTCTAGATGCTGATTTTATGATTGATCCTCATTCTTTGAGGCGTGTGTTGACACGTATATGGTGAAATATGAGGTACGAATCTAACCTCAACAGTTCCTACTTTATAATAGATGATAATTGGCTTATAACGTGCAATGTGTGATCTCGTTTAAACACTAATCTGTCGGACTGCACACCGATACGCTTGCACTATAAACTTTGTTTGAAATTGTTTTAGAAACTAACACTTGGATGCGGAAGAGAAGCAGACACATAATGAATGACCTCATCAGAAACTCGTTGAAAAGGCCTAAAAAAGCTTTTCTTGACATACTGTGGATGTTTTTGATGAATTTGACTGCGAAGTATTTAGGAGACAAGTCGTGAAAACTTAATTAAGTTGAGAATGAGCACATTAAATTAAGTAGGAAAACTTAATTAAGTTCTGTTAGGGAAAACCTAATTAACACAAACTCAAAATTGAACTCAAGAAAGACGAAGCACAAATTGTTTGACCGAGGTTCGGATTCAAGAAATCCTACATCCCCGTTGAGCTCACTCGCAAGAAAACCCTTCCACTATTGAGAATCGATTACACCCTCATGCCTGAATCACTCAGAGATTACAAGAAGAAAAGAACCCAGAAACACCCAGAGAAATCCCAATACAGAGCTTTATAGAGAAAATACCCAGTGAGCAAAGAAACTCCTTTACCTAGATTTTTTCAACCCCCAAACACTCTCTCAGATTTCTCAGTTTACAAAATCGTGTTTCTCATCAATTTCATCATCAAATCTTAAACCAATTTCATCATCAAACTAACAAGTTTTACAAAAAAACATAAACCCAACATCCATATTACTCAAAACCATAAAACCTAAACAAATTTCATCATCTACCTAACAAATTCAAAACAAACAATAAAAACCCAACATGCATAACTCAAAACCACAAAACTTAAGCTAATTTCATCATCAACCTAACAAATTTTACTTAAAGAAAATAAACCCAACATCCATATTACTCAAATTTTAATAAAAAAGATAAGATTAATGAAATTTACTTGAGGTTCTTCACGGATTTGTGGACAAGAAGGTGGCGGTCGGTGGAGAATGGCGGCAAATGGAAGGAGAATGATACTATTTAAGCTGGCGGCGTAGTCTGGACGGAGGGATTGGTGGAATGGGCGGGTGTTTTGATTTTCGAGTGAATTTTTTGTGAAATAGAAAGAGCTGAGTTCAAAAACAAATTTAGACGATGGTTTCTCTGGAAACTGTCGTCATATGTGTTAAAATTAGACAACGGTTTTACAGTAAACCGTCGTCTAAGCTCCCGTTGTGACCTCTGTATTTTTTATAGCACTTTAAACAATAGTTTCTTTCTAAACTCCCGTTGTGACCTCCGCGTTTTTAATGGCACTTTAGACGACGGTTTCTTTAGAAATCGTTGTCTTATATGAGCTGTTAAATCTATTAGTTTTTGTAGTGAATGCATGACTGGAAAGACTTTTTTTTTTTCCTCTCTTTTTTTGCTAGAAATGATAAGGGGTTGACTCAGAATCTCCATACTTCTGCTCAGCCGCTTCTTTAATTTCTACAATATCACTAATGTAATGCCTTCGAAATGTCAGTTTGCAGTCTCGTTCTTAGCACATTGTGAAAGCCTTTCATCTGAGTAATTGTTTTCTCTAGCTACCAACTTATGTATTTATTGATTCACCAATTCCTCATTTTTGGTTTTTGTTTTTTCTTTAAAAAAAATTAGTGAGAATAGACAAATAATATCAAGAGAAAAATTAACATCCCACCTAATTTAGCACCCGAACAATTATCTATCTCATATGAAGACCATCACTCCTTTTATTGAAACATACAAGAGGGGAAAAAAAAGATACAAAAAGAAATTACAATCAACAGGATAAAAAACTAAAAAGCCTAAAGTCGGAAGTATTTCTGAATGGATAGAGCCATAACCCACACCAATGAAAGAGGATTGTAAATATGTTTCATTATAAACATTCTGACCAACACCCATTGGGAAAACATTAGAAGAAGAAAAAAGTTCATATTTATTCCGAGAATAATATAGTCTACTCAGAAACACGATAGTTAGGGAGACCAGTCGGTTTATCACGATCAACACTTGAGCATATAAAGCAGGCGTAGTGAACCACGAATATAAATTTCAACATAATAGGCCGACACGTACGAAAAGCAAGATTAGTCGATTAATAAAATAACCAAATATATAAATAAGTTAGGGAAAATAAAAGGATAAAAAAGGAAATAACAAAAGAGTTCCATCAACAAGAAGTGTCGAGAGAAATAACCAAATTATATGTTGCAAGATTAATTTAGAGGCAACGCATCCTCAGAAAGCAAAAAGAAAAAAAAAATGTAGTGAGTGGGAATCAAGAAACGTATATATTTATTCCGTTAGATGACAACAAAGATAATAATTAATAATGAGAATAATCTTGTTCAATTTAGCCCAATTGGCGGCTAGCTCAATTTGTATTTAGCGGGTGTATAAGTTATTTTAAATTTATTGAGTTTTGAGTTCAAATCCTGTGACATTTATTATTAAAAAAAAAAAAAAAAAAAAAAAAAAAAAAAAACTCACCTCAATAGAATTCGGAAGAGTCATAACCAAGGCAAATTGGAGGGGAAAAAAGAAAACAAAAGAAAAGAAAAGAATGACTTTTTCCTCCCAACACAATCCAACATTGTGCCGCGTCATATTAAAGAAAAAGTTTATACTTGTCCTCAATGTTGTCCAACAAGTCATGAAAAAGCAGCTTGCATGTTTATTATGCCATTTTGATATTTGTTCGTGTTGATTAATGCCTTTGAACCTTTCCGCTATAACCACCAAAACCTCAATCCCCACATCATTCCCAATTCTCAAAACAATTCACTCAATTTCCTTGACGATCTCCTCAAAAATAACCATGGAAGTCGTTTATGGCACGGCCGCAGAAGTCTTGAAAAGGGTGGCAACTGCTGCGGAGCAAGAGATTTGCTTGGCATGGGGCATGAAAGGGGACCTAAAGAAGCTTGAAAAGACGATGTCCACCCTCAAAGCAGTGCTCTTAGATGCCGAGAATAAGCAAGAACAAAACGAAGCGCTACGAGTCTGGCTGAGGCGGCTTAAAGATGTCTTCCTTGATGCTCAAGACGTGTTGGGAGAAGTCGAGTGCGAACTACTAAGAAGAGAAGTGGTGAAGACATATGGCATCATTGGTCGAAAGGTACGCCGATTCTTCTCGAGCTCCAATCCCCTTGCGTTTCGGCTTAACATTGGGCATCAAATTAAGGCGTTAAGGCAAGAGTTAGATGATGTCGCCAAAGATAGGATAAATTTTCATCTAATTGAGCAGCAGGATCTCATGCAAGGGAGGAGGGAGATGACATCTTCTTTCGTTAGGCCCTCAGAAATTATAGGTCGAGATAGTGAGAAAGAAAAGATCGTTAATATGTTATTACAGAAGGATCACAACGATCTTATCTCTGTCATTCCAATAGTTGGAATGGGGGGTCTAGGAAAGACTGCACTTGCAAAGTTAGTTTACAATGATGACAAAGTCACTGAAGAGTTTGGTTTAAAAATGTGGGTCTGTGTCCAACAAGATTTTAATGTTGCTGAATTAACGAGAGAAATTCTCAAATCTGCTATTAGTGCAACTAGTACGATTAATGAAAATTTCTCTATAGATCAGGCCCTGAAAGGAACAAATGATATCAGTAACTTTTCCGTAGATCAGGTGCAAATTTTCTTACGAACCACTTTAAAGGATAAGAAAATTTTGCTAGTCTTGGATGATGTCTGGAATGAAGATCGTAGCTAGTGGAACGAGGTGAAAGATCTGTTGTTGACGGCGTGTGCTAACGGAAGCAGAATCATAGTGACAACGCGTAATTCTTCAGTTGCCGCTGTCATGGGCACAACCTCAGCACATTATTTAGAATGTCTTTCGGAGGAGAAGTCTCGGTCTTTATTTTTCAAATATGCATTTGGAGATGAGCAATTGGCTGAACAATTTCCAAAACTTAAAGTCTGAATATAAGTTTATATTGTTCTTTAATTTGGTGTGTGAGATATGAGACTAGAGTAGTGTATATATAGAGAAGGCGTTTGCAGTACTTGATCCCTCGGTAAAGTGAAGGAGTCTAGTCAAGTCAACGTCACATGTCGACTATATTTTCGAGGATTATTAGCACTATTAGTTTTGACAGATTATTCTTCAACTTTTATTTTATTTTTATTTTATTTTTTTACAATTTTAACCCCTGACTTTACAAATATTGATGATGAATTTTTATAATTTAACAGAGATAATCATGTGTCTAATGTGTATAAGATGAAATTTTATAGAGCTAATTATAACATTAAGTGCAAAATTCTCTCTTTATTATTCTAAAAAACCCTTGAAAACTAAAACATTTTGCAATTAGTGTGACAATTTCTTCAAAATTTTAAGTTATTAGACAATACCGCGATGTGATTAATTATCTTTCCTTTATCAATTTTGATATCAGTGTTAATAATTTTTTAACATTAAAAGTTCAAGGACTAAAAACAGTTTGGTGATGATTAACAATGTTACTACTCTTATTTTTGAAGGACAAAATAATATTCAAGGGAATGTAGTAAACTTGTATCTTACAGCCAACTTGTTCATTACTGTGACGACCCTTATTTCCGGTCATCGCTGCTACGTTTATACTTAATTCAACCTTGACTAACTTTTCAAGAATGACCTATTAGTCGACTCTTGGTCAACAAATTTCAACTCGGTCAACCCTAATCCATTGAAACTCCTAATTTTCTCGGTTCGGTCTTCCGAACCCTTTTTTCGTCCGTTTTTCATTCCAATTATTTTTAAAACCCTAGAATTGATGTTTTTCAATTCTTTTTTAATTCTTAAACTTAATATTCATGTCTTTGTGCTCTTGCCGGAAAAACACATCGTTTCGCTCCACTTTTCTGATTACAATATGAAATTATGTAATTGTATCATAGTTAAAAAATTTCTGACTTTTAGCTTATACTTTGCTATTTAATATTAATATCAATAAATACTTATCATAAAAATATTCATATTTATAATATAAAAAATTTCAAGAAATCTCATCTTATACAATAAGTTTTTGATAAATTTTTCGATCATCATGACAATTACTTCTTTGTAGTGATCAGAACGAATGATCCCACAATTGACTTGGTCGTGGGGCAAAGTAAAAGTCAATATTTTAAGGGATGCCGACTAATTAGTTGGGATGTCGTAGTTCTTATTTATGTTACTTTATCAGAAAAAAAAAAAAAAAGAACAAGAAAAGTGAAATTTTGGATAAACACTGTCAACTACTTTTGTAATGGGAAGCTAACTTTGATAACAAGATATTTACAAAAGTTTTTTTTTTTTTTTTTTTTTTTTTTTTTTTTTTTTTTTTTTTAAGTAAATGGAGGAAGGATATTGTAATATTCGAGAAATTCATTAATATAAATATGTGAATTTATCCGGATTTTGATAACGAATTCCCCGTTAATTTATTGAACTTTGTCAACAAAAATCGTGATGCAAATTAAAAATATTTTATTTCATGAACGAAATAATAAATTTTAAAATCGATCCTATACGAAAATACGATTTCGTGAAGACTGAAATCTCAAAATGAGACAATTCCCCGGCCGTAAATTTAAAGATGAGTAAGAAACAAAATAGAAGATTTCTTATGATTGACAGAAACTGTAATACCCGTTTAATTTAGAAATCAGTTTTAGAGAACAACGAAATGAATTCGAAAATTTCGTGACTAATTATAGAAAAAACTAAAAGCAACATTAACGAATAATTCGGTGTTGAAAGAATTCTTGTAACAGTAAAAGAATTATCGTACCAAGCATCATGCCTTACAGTTGTTACAAATTAAGAAGTAGTATGTGGAACATACTGAAAGCAGCACAACAGGTAAACTGATTATTATTTAATTTGAATTGTTTAAATAGCGATGTAGGAGAACAATCCATGATTTCAAATAGCGATGGTATAAACTTATGTGGAACAAAAAAATTAACAATTCTACAAAATAGAGGAATTCTGAAAGAATTGATTTCAAACAATCACTACAAGAAAAAGGGGTTTTTACGATGACGTGTCGTCGCAGATTTGTCCTCGCAAATAATTCGTCACAAAACCTTTTTTTGCGACGACATAGTGTGGTCGCAACTGTATTTGCGATGACATGCTGTTTTTGTGACGACAGGCGTCGCTAATACGTCGTTACAAAATTCTCGTGATATGATCATTTTTTGCGACGACATTTCAAATTGTCGTCACAAATAATCTTATTTTTTGCGACAATAAGTCTAAAAAAATCGTCGCAAAAAACTGAAATTAATTATTTTTTATAATTTTTTAAAAAATAGTAATTAATTAATTTTTAATAATTTTAATTCAACATTATTATGTTACATACATAATATAATTTATTAAGATACATTCAAAGTGAAATATAAATTAATATTAAAAATAATAAATCTAAATAAATTTATAAAATATATTATGAATACTACATGAAGTGCATATATAATGTTCAAAAAAATATTAAAGTCTAAATAAAGTGAAAAATAAAATAGTACATATAACGGAACTAATCGTCTAAGTTTGCAGCATCGCCAATAGCTGAATCATCATCAGGGCTGTCATCATCTGAAGGAGGCATAGGAGCGTCTAGGTCAACTGGTTCTGGACGATCAATCGTAGGTAATTAGATGTTGGGCTGCAATTTAGCCACCAACTCTAACACCTTCACCTGATTCTCATAAATCTTAACTTGTTCCAGGTACAATTTCTTTAAATAACGACTCATACGTGGGTCAGGTTGAGCCGATGATGTTTCATCCGAGTATGAACCAACAGATGAAGGAGAAGCCCCGGAGTAATATTTTTGAGAGAGCGTCGGACCCACTCCTATCTTATGTCCTCTACGCATGCCAAGAACTTGCTCCAAAATCCCATGCTCGTCAAAGGCGGGTCTAGTCAAGCTTGAAGTAGACTGTGTTCTCTACGTTTGTCTATCCTCCTTCAGGGTGTTCTACATAATAAGACATTATAATTGTTTATACGTGTTATAAAACGACTATTTCAATATAAAAAAATTTAATATGAAAAATAAAAATACTTACAAAAGTCTATTCCGCTTGGGGATTAACTCAAGAGGCCCCGCGATGATGCATGTTCGCCCAATTGTCTATGGTAGACATCGGCTCTTGGGTCTCCGTACTGACCTATCAAATAAATTACACTTGTTAAAATTAGTAAATTCTAACTAAATTTCGACAGCATAACGACTTATTTTTCAAATCAGTATCCAAAGTAATGGGGGTCATCTTCCCAATTGGCCGACAGTGAGTTTCGAATACAGAAATCTTTTTAATAGTACGATCTTCATCGTCTACCCAATTTCTGGCCAGTCGGTTAAACCGTGTTTCAACTCCAGTTAAATACAATGAACAAAAAGTCCGAGCTACGTTCACAATGTATGCCTCAGCAATCAAACCCTTAGGACGTGCACGATTCTTGACATATTTCTTTAACGATCCAAGAAAACGTTCAAACGGATACATCCATCTTAAGTGAACTGGTCCTCCTCGAATGGCTTCTTTAGGCAAGTGTATAACTAAATGTACCATTATGTCAAAAAAGGCAAAAGGAAAAATTGTTTCTAACTTGCATAAAATAAGCACAATATCTTGTTGAGCTTTCTCTAAATCACTTTTTCACAATGTCCTTGAGCATATTAACTCGAAAAAATTACTTAATTATGTTATTGCATCAACGATCTCTTTCTTCATGAGTCGTCGTATCCCTGTTGGCAATAATCGCTACATTATGATGTGACAGTCATGTGATTTTAGCCCAGCAATTTTATTCTTCCTTTCGATCATGTTTTTCTTTAAATTTGAAGCAAATCCTTCAGGAAACCTTACTGATTTTAAAAAATCACAAAACTTTTTACCGTCGTCTGGAGATGTATAAGACACATGTGGTTTCATCCAACGATCACCGTCTTTGTACAAATGCAACTCCTTGCGCACCCCCATATGTTGCAGATCGATTCTCGCCTTGTCCTTATCCTTACTTTTTCCATCAATGTCTAGAATTGTGCCCAATAAGCTGTCGCATATATTCTTCTCAATATGCATGACATCTAAGTTGTGACGTAATGACAATGACTTGCAATAAGGCAACTCTGAAAAAATACTCTTCTTTGTCCAATTAAGCTCAGTTGCATGTCTTTTCCGCTTGTTACCACCATACTTTTCATGTTTACCAGGCAATCTGAGGGACACATTTTGTAACTGAGCTAAGATTTGGTGAACAGATTTTCAAACCGGTGGAGGTCGTTTCTCAACCTTACCATCAAACTTCTTATTTTTTCTCATCCCATGTTTAATAGGAAGCCATTGCCGATGGCCAACAAAACAAGTCTTACTTGTTATCCTCTTTGAAGGGGTTGCATCGTTGCAAGTTGGGCATGCTAAATAGCCCTGACCACTCCATCCAGATAAACTCCTATGAGCAGGAAAATCATTAACTGTCATGAGAAACATAGCCCACATCTGAAATGATGTATTAGAAACTGTGTCACGTACAATTACTCCTTCATTCCACAAATCTTTTAGCTCATCCACAAGGGCCTTAAAAAGACATCAATATCCTTTCCGGGTGCATTTAGGCGAAGAATCAACAATGTCAACATCTTATAAGGATCCTAAGTGCATAACCATAGAGGTAAATTGTAGGTCGTTAAAACCACCGGCCACATATTGTATGAGAGGCTC